AACTCAGGACACGCTGTAGAATTCTATATGAGAAACACTTATCCAAAGAAAAATGGAAAACAATTGTCACAATAGATGAAGCATGAGTGTATTTAAGTGATTCTGACAACAACAACAACAAAAAAAAAAAAAAAAAGAGTCATTTATTATTATAAAAGGAGAGAAAAAAATTTAAGTACATGATTCAAAGAATCGAAAGAAAGTTTTTCTAAGGGATTCATGATTGTTGCTGGTTTTTTTTATAATGGCAAGTTAAAAATAAAGAGAGTGCAAAAAATGTCAAGATTAACTCCAAATACTATCAGGAACATATTTTATCGCCAATTTCTCTGAATGAAATACCATCGCTTTACCTACAGTGCTATCAATCTGTGAGACTCCATCAGGACAAAGCTAGCAGTCACACATCAAAATCCACTGTAAATTTCCTAAAAGAAATGGAACAAAAAACTGGTATCAAAGCATACCCTTCACTGATATCCCCACTAAATCTCCCGATATGTCACCTATGGATTTTTGTGCTTTGAGACTTTTAAATCCTGCATTATCCAAACGTTGTCCCCAAACCCTAACAGGACTCTGGAAAGCTGTTCGGGAGGAATGGGATAGAATACCTCTTCTGCCACTTGAAAAGGCATTATTTATCCTGGAAATTGCGGTGTCGAAAGATAGTTCAGAATAAGGGATGTCAAATGTAACATTTAAAACACAAGAATTTTGTGTAATCTAGTTTTGTGAATACAATATACATCGTCTAAAAAATGTGTTAACAGCTTCTGTATTAAAGCCTGCTGAGTCTCCTTCTAAAGTGGGGACAAAAAGTAAACTACACTTAATGTATGAAGACACTGGATTAAAAAAATAAAAAAGAGAAAAAGAAAGAAACAATTGGATACAGTTTTGCATTGATATTATTGTTTCCATCCACAGAGAGGGAGAATGCACCTTTTTTTTAATAGGTTACTGAAGATTTATTTTTCATATCAATTTCTTGTTCTAATAATTAGCTGTGCTGTATATTTAAAGCCTGCTGAATCTCTTTCTAAAGTGGGGGCAGAAAGTAAACTGCACTTAATTTATGAAGACACTGGATTAAAAAATAAAAAACTGAACACAGTTTTGCATTAATATTATTGTTTCCATCCGCAGAGAGGGAGAATGCAACTGTTTTAATGCAGTCGGTAACTGGAGATTTATTTTTCATACAAATTTCCTCAAACCATTTCTTTTACAATTGTCGCCGTTTTTGTCCTTTCAGTTGAATATTTATTAGCGATTTCACTGCCTGGTAATATTTTTCTAAATAAAGCTTCAGTCTGATCTGACGCATTCAGTGGCAGGTTGTGCTCCAGTAAAAAGACAGAGAACAGGTATTCTGCATTAATAACTTTTTGGTCCATTGGTTTCCAAAGATTTTTCCCCCTCTCCACTATAACTAACTCACTTTGTTCTTATGTGAGCACAGAACATCAGAATGCATCAGGTATGCAGAAGCTTGATCCATTTATTTGTTTCTTAAAGGTGAGATATGTGAATAACTTTATTGAAGGGCATCATTTATCAAAAAATGGATCTCTAATCTATAGCCAGAATTTTCTAATTCTTGACTCTAAAATCATCATGTATGTGAGAATTTGTATGTATGAATCATCCTTGAAGATATACAGAAATCACTTGCTGATCTTATTTGTAAGTACATTCATGGCAGATTTAAATTCAGAAATATATCTTCTTTGAGAGTCACCTTGAAGGTTTTCATCTAGAATGCTGAGTATTTTTTGTAGTTTGGCATTTTAATTATCTGATTAAGAGGAGTAGGATTTAAAAATGTATCAAACGTGAAAAACTGAGTTATGATCACATGAAAGTATCATTAAATTCTCAGACTGAAACAAGTATAATAAATAAGAGATTAAAAAAAATCAATACACAGCTCTGTGGTTATAGCAAGTGAATTCCAAGAGAATACAGAATAAAGTATTTGATGTAAAAGTAATGTATTTGGTTTAATCCATATAGCTGTTGCTATAAGAATTGCAGATTCCCCCCTCCCATTGAAATCATTGCCTACTATAGCATGTTTACTGTAAAATGGTTAACAGGTTCATTAATTTTGTTGCATAAAACTAAAAAAGTATTTATGAAGGTCACATTTTTTATTAAAGAGCTGTAAGTATGATTATTATATTTTCAAAGTTATTCTGGTTTAATGATATGTACTGTATTCTTACAAATGTGATGCTGCTACTGCTGCCTCAAAGCAGCACTTTGCATGAAAAGCCTGCTAGTTAGAGGTCTTTCGACATAGATTTTAAATGTTTCTTGAAAAGACATGATAAGAGTTATCTTTTCAATACAAAGAGCAAAGAGACCGTCAGCAAAGAGGAGCAAGAGTAAATAAATAAAACGACTATTAAACTCATTAATAATTTAAAAATTAAATAGTTAATTATTATCAAATTAATTAATAGCTATTTAATTAATGTTTATAAATTGTTATTCAATCAATAATTATTATATAATTAACTATAATTTAATTTATAATTGTTAGATAATTGATTAATTATAATTTAATTGATAATTATTAGATAATTAATTATTATTTATAGAAATAATTAAGGATTGAAGTAATTAAATAAAATGTAAAGAGATAAATTGAAATTTAATAAGCAATTTTTAATATAACTTTATTGTCAAAATAAAATTTTTGAGATAAAATTTCTACTGAAATTGTTATTCAATTACATAAAAGAAGTGCCGCAGCCTTCTTATTCAGGGCTCCAGTGCGTTCTGGCTAGATGATTTATTGCAAAAACTAAGAAGCACCGAAAACGAGATCCGGTGGGCTCAGGCCCAATTTAAGCTCTGATCGGGGGGGGGGGAGTTCTTTTATCATCACAAAAATTAAATATACTTAATGCATAGCTGATGAAAATTCCAGGGCGAAACAGAATGAGGGGAATCTTGGTGAGAGAGAACGTTCCCTTTGGCCGGGGCTCTCTGCTGATATAATTATAGCCATCAAGCAGATGTGTGTAAGGAGTAAAATGAGTCCTGAATCTGGCTCCTAAGGATGAATGTAAAGTTGATGGTTACGCTTCCCCCATTTAGTGGATACTCTGGGAAGACTACGTATAGGACGTGCTTGAGCAGTTTATCTCAGTATTTCACTCTTATTGTACTCGCTGTCACTTAATGCACATTTAAGAACATAAAACTTTCCTTCCTGCGAAGATAACTAACTGTAAGCGTCGATAACAATACATTAGATACGATGGCATGGCAAGAAATTTACGCATTCCTAAACAAACTCCCCAAAATTTATTGCCCTTCTTAAAGGGAAAGGATTCCTCATGTGAATGAGGGGACTTTAATTGAATGTCTCATGTTCTCCTAGGGAAATAGAGTACTGCAAGTTCTGCTTATTGTTAAACTAAAACGTTAAAATCCCTTTAAATTGTGGTTCAGTTTTATAAAAAGAAGTACCGAAGCTCATCTCATTTAGGGCTTCGGCTAAAAATTGTAATTTATCTTAAAAATTGAGAAGTACTGGAGCCGGGCTCCAGCGCAATTTAAGCACTGCAGTATACAAGATCTTACATTTCAAGACGTGCTCATACTATTCATGTTGGTCCTTGAGTACTGATTAGACATATTCAGATAAAATCTCAACAGAATCAGTTATAACAATTATTTTACCTAACAGTTTGCCTTTTTCTTTCCTTCCACTGTAAACCATCACAGATGATGTCCCATAATTTAATGACGCTCGAGAAATAAAAAAGCTTGAAAAAAAGAGTTTAATTTGGAAGTATTTTAGATGTTATTTGTTGAGCTATCCTCATTTCCTTTGAAAAGGGAGGAAAATCCTGTATTTTACTGCTATTAAGAACAATTAATGGTTTTTATTCAAAGAATTTTGCTTGGATAGCTACTTGTTTTAAATTCATTAGCAATCACAATCTTCAGATATACGAAGACAGTCTGAATGTAAGGTATAATTTGGAATTTCAGAAGCTCAATAGTTTCCAGAAAGGCATTTTCTGAGCATTTGGAATTTTCTCAATAGAATAATGAATTGTGATAAACTTCTTAAAACTCACAGGACTGGGCAGGCTGAGGCTTCTTGTAAAAATATTCTGTTTGAGTTAACCATATACGGTACTATTAAACATTTCCTTATTTATTTTCATTTCTAAGTATACACATAAAATATAAAAGTAATCCCTGATTTTTGTTTCTGTTAAGAAGCTGAATTTTTGCTTCCGTTAAGCTCGCATGTAAGCCAAGGAATCATGGTTCAGAACTTAACTCCTTTTCATATCTAACTATTGCACAGCTGACAACCTTGAAATGTTAAAAATTATGAGTTTCTGGAAAGTTTTAAAGCTGTATAGTGCCGCTATTTAAAAAGAACTCCAAATTGACTTAAACTTTCTTCACAATGCATGATTCAGGTTATTCAACTATTTATAATAGTGCCTGGAGACAAGTGAAGATTTCCTGTCCCTTCCTGTTTGCCAAGAATGGAAAACATTTTATTCTAAAATTGTGTAACATCAATTTGGCACCTTTGGATACTGCACCTAGGAACAGATGTTTTCCCTTGCTCCTTCCCCCTAGTTGCACCACTGAGGAAAGCTTTCATTTATCAAAGTACTTTAAAATGCAATGAAAATAAAATTAACAAGTAATACTACTGCATAGATAAATTTAGTAAAGTTCCATATATTGATGTAAAAGAAAATTAAATATAAATTAAATCTTCATATAAATTTATAACTTGATGACGAAAATCTAGTGCCTCCAATTCATATTAACAGATAGTAGCACCAAAGACATTTCAAATAGCCCCCTTCTCAAAATACTTATATATTTATAGTTAAATATACATGTTATATATGCATCATGAATGGAAGTAAATGCAAACAGCATATTATTCTTTGAATATTAAACAGTTATGCTATTAAATACTTCAATAAAAATTATCAAATTTACTGTTAGCTGAAAAATATAAAATTCAATTTATTTTTTCTTTAAAAAAATTCTCGATTCATCAATTTTTGCCATTGTATTTATGTAATACTCCAGAGATTTAATTTTTCTTTAATGGTATTTTCAATAAAAATGGATCAAAATGTTTATGTCCATAGCTTTGAGGATATAACAGAACTTCTAATTCTTCTTCTGGCGACTCCTCAACAGAATACTTGAATTCATAGAAAAACTGAGAAGTTGTACCAAGATATAACTTTTCATTATTCCTTGTATGAATAAATACATCAGAACAGTGAATAGAAGGATCCTCAGTCCACTGAACAAGAACAAGCCATGTTGTGATGTTATTTTCAAAAGTATACGACAAATCTTTACATACAAATCGAAATTTCCTCTGAACTGGCACAATCTAAGGGGAAAAATATCATTAATTCTACAATATTTAAAAATGCAACAGTATTATTTATTATCAGAATAAAGAGAGAGATTAAGCCTTTTCCTTTTGATAATGAAGAAAAACTTTACTAAAAAATAATACAGCATTTTATCAATGACAATATATAAATTATTCAGCTCTTAAAAATCTTGGTATCAACTTGGTTTAAGGCCTGTAAAATTATATTTCCAGCACAAGAACAAAGAATGTAAAATAATAATAATAAAAACTAGTTAAAATTTTTTTCACAATTTGAATAAGTTAAAATACAAATTAAAAAGTTGCTAATTCCTGTAAAATTACAAAAGTAGGCCTCAAGCTTTAAACGATATATGAAATACCCAAAGAACTAGACACAATCAACAAGTAGTTTAGCTCTAATAACAGAAATTCAGTATCAATGCTATTCAAATCAACATCAGAAATTCAATATCGGTGCTATAATTCATTGTCAGTACACAATAGAGGGCAAAAACTAAATGATAAACACATGTACGTCACCGAAAGAAGAACATACAATTTTAACTAGGTATGCAGTCAAAAAACCACATGGAAACACTACACTTTCAGACAGGAAAAACTACCATAATTGAAAACTGAAGCTAGAGCAAGTACAGTGGTTGCTACCTAAAATCAACCGTTCATTAACCCCTTCACGACAGCGTGTTGCTGAACTAAAAACCCTCTGCAGAAGGGTGTGTCATATATTCATCAGTCCCAAATGTCACTAGCAGCCGGGTGATGCACTGGTGCATCGCATGCTGCATTGCACTAATGCAACACACTGTCTCCAAGGTGAATTGCACTAAGTGGCATGCTGTCTCGTAAGAGGATTAGCTGCTGATGCATATATGATACACTCATCATGAAAGGGTTAAAATCAAAACCTAAGGAATGAATTCAAATGAATACAATAACATTATAAAATAACTGCTTAATAAAATCAAACTGCTTTTAAAATTGTCAAAAACAAAAGATTGTGTTTCAAGTTTAGTGATTTTGTTCAAAATCGATTCACTTCCACATTTGGAAGAGAAAATGCTAGAATTTTCTCATCTGGAATTGTGAAAACCCCCAAGTCTGTGTGTTAATGTCAGTGATCTTATTTAAGGCTGATTCACTTTTACATGTGGAGCTGCAAATGGTAGAATTTTCTTATCTGGAAAAATCATGGGGGTAGGTCACGAGAGGTTTGCCAGAACTGGTTCAGACCAGTTGGGAAAAAGGGGGCAACACATGGGAAAATCTGAATAAAAAATTGTCTTTCTTGCCCACACAGTTCACCCAACCCCATCGTGCTTATTGTTTGGTCATGCCTCAAAATGTCCAAATGCAAGGACATTTTGAGAAACATAAAGAATTGTTGAAGCAATATAATGCTTTACCAAAATTCAGAAAACGTGAAGTTTCTGTAGAACTTGCAATTTCACAATCTGCATGTATATTGTTGAAAAGAAGAGAGGCAATTTTGGATGAACTGATGGCAAGTGCAACTGTCTCACATAAGAAGAAGCGAAATGGAAAGCTACCAATGCAGAAACTGCCCTCTCGGAGTGGCTTCAAAGTGCCAGGAACAAGAATGCCATCATGTTGTAAGAAATCCAGTATCAAAAGGCAATAGAGTTCGCTAAAATGCTTGGAGAGGAGCTTGTCCCCTACTGTTGGATGGCTCACAAGATAGAAAGAAAGAAACAATATTATTTTTAGAAAATTACATAAAGAGAAAAAAGATGCAAACTCTAATGAAGCCGATAATTGGATAGAAAAGAATTTAGCTGGACTTTTGCAAGAATACAAACTGCATCAAATTTTTAATATTGATGAGACTGGTCTTTATTATTGAGTCCTACCTCACACTTTAATGTTTAAACGTGAGTCATCAGCTGGCTGTAAAAAATTAAACATGTTATTGTGTTAGTAACGTGTAATATCACTGAGACAGTTAAAAAGACACCATTAGTCATCCATCCAAGAAAAAAAACCCTTATTGTCTGAAGAGTATCAAGCATTTGCCTGTGACTTATTACAACAATAAAAATGCTTGGATGATAAGCAATATTTTTAGTGGTTTTCTTACGAAGTGGGATAAAGAACTTCAACATTGAAAAGTGGCATTCTTGTTAGATAACTGTGCTGCCCATCCAAAAGACCTCTAAATGAAGAACATAATTTAGTTTTCCATCCTTCTACTACAACTTCATTCTTCAGCCATTAGATCAGGATGCTATAAAGACATTCAAGAGTCATTACAGAAAATAAGTGGTTCAAAATATTATTAATGAAACTGATATGACTGATGCAGTTGGCTCTTCTAATGAAATTGCCAAGTCGATTTCTCTCTTAGATGCCATTCATGTTATTTTAAATGAGTGGGGTGAAGTAACTTTGCAAACGATTTAAAATTGTTTTAATAAAGCTGGCTTCCATCCAAAGAAAATTTCTGAAACTCTTAAGATATGCCAGATGACAAGGGTGACGATGAAGAAATGCATGCTGAGGCTTTCTTCGAATATTTGGGAATCGATGAAAATATCAAGACTTGCTACAAAAAGAGTTATGCAGAGATTATTGAAGTTATCATACGAAACATAGGAATTAGTGAAAATGAAAGTGTGTTCGGAGATTCGAATGGTGAAATGAATAACAAAATGGACGACACTGAATAATTTGATGCTAAAAAAGACAATGCAAAGAAAAATATCAGATTATTTTCCAAAAACTCAATAAATGTTTTGTTTTTCAAAAAACTTAAAATTTTTGTATTAAATTTCATTAAATTCTTGTGGATGTTTTTGTTTTATTGATTTTTACTAAATAAATGCATATATGCATATCTATGTAAATAAAATATACTCTAATAAACTCTATTTTGTTGAATATATGTTTTTTTTTTTTTTTTTTAAATATCCTTTAACATGAAAAAATATTTCAGTCCCCTCAGCTTCGTGTTAGACGATTTTCACTGTATTTATTAATCTCTCTTTTTTTTAATCAAACTTACTTGATTCCTTCTTTCAAAATTCAAAATTTAGATTCAACCCTATTAAAATATGCAATTTATTTTTAAATTTGCATTTTAAAATAATTTTTTTAAAAAATTTGAATTATGACCTATAAGATTTTTTTTCATGATCTTAAAACAGATATAATTCTACTCATATCTGCAAAAACAATTTTTTATTCAAAATTTCCCAAGTTATACAGTGTCTCACAAAAATGATCAGGCACAACAATATTTTTACTTTTTTAAGTAATAGGAAAAAAGCTTTGCAGTAAACTAAAAATGAATATTTTCCCTATGAGTACATATTTTCTTAGCTATCTCTTTGTACTGAATAAATTTGGAAAAACTCCTAAATTTGTGTGTGTAACTTCCTGAATTATACGGAATATATGTAAATTCAGAAACTGTAAGAAGAGTAAGTGTTGTTTGCCAATGAAAGTAAATTTAACATCTTTGGCTCAGATGGACGAGTGTCGGTGTACAGAAAACCAACAGAGGAGTTTCGAAAAGAAAACTTAGTACCAAGTGTTAAACATGGAGGGGGAGGAGTTACGGTATTGGGATCTATGGCACATTCTGCTCTTGGTGATATAGAATTTGTAATATACAGTTACTACATCAGTATAAAATAACCTTGACATCTTGAAGCGAAATTTGGCATCGTCAGCACAAAAACTTAAAATACAAAATAGTTTTAAATTCTACCACGACAATGACCCAAAGCATACTGTGCACAGTGTCAGACTCTGCCTGTTATATAAGTGTCCAGAAGTAATTAAGGCACCACCCCAATTGCCAGATCTTAATCTTATACAACATATTTGGCAGGAACTAGAATCGAAAATTCGAAAACAGAGTATATCTGTGACAGCAACTGAAAACAGTGATTCAAGAAGAGTGACATAAAATAAGTCCAGGGAAAAAAAAAAAAAAAAAAAATACTTGTGGAGTCAATGCTCAAAAGATTAAATGAAATGAACATGTGTTAAGGTTATCCTACAAAATATTAGGAAGCAAAAGCAATGCAAGTTTTTGTAATTTTTGGCTGTTATTAACCGCTTGCCTGATTATCCCAAGTTATCTCGGGTTCGTATATATTGCAGTTAATTATTATCCCAAATTGAATTAAAGTGGCAAGATTTAAAGTGGCAAGATGGGCGTTACTTCTAGAAGAATTCGACTATGAAATTGTTCACAGATCTGGGCAGCAAATGAAGCACGTAAAATCGTTGAGCAGAAATACTGTCATGATGGTTACCTATTTTTTCAGAGAGAAGTTACAGCCAAAATTGCAGTCACGCAAAAAATTGATGAGCATCTTTAGTTGCTAACATCCTTAGTCGAGCAAGGACTAAAGAAAGATTTCCTAGTGAAGAATGTGTATTATACAAGTTTAACAGTGGTCACGAGCTACTTGTGGTACCCGAAGCATTGGAGTTAGAAATCATACATAGTATCTACAACAAGGGACACTTCGCAGTGTCTAAAAAGGAAGATCTGCTGAAAATGGACTTTTATATTCCTAACCTTAGAAGATGAATTGAACAAGTTATCTCAAATTGTGTAGAGTGTATTTTGTGTGACAAAAAAACGAGGTAAGTGTAAAGGGATGCTGAATTCCATATCAAAAGATAGTATCCCTTTGAACACATTTCATATTAATTTTATAGGAATTATAGGACAATTACTACAATAAGAACTACAATCATATCTTGACCATGGCTGACACATTTACAAAGTTCGTGTGGCTCTATCCAGTAAAGTCTACATCAGCTCAAGATGCACTGCAGAAGCTGAAACTGCAGCAATCAACTTTCGGTATTCCTTTGAGAATAATAAGCGATAAAGGTACAGCTTTTACCTCTAAAGACTTTGAAGACTATTGTAGTCAAGAGAAGATGCAGCACATACTTACGTCTAACTACAGGCATTCCTAGAGGAAATGGACAAGTGGAAAGAATTCATCTGA